AAAATCTTTTGTTTTCATTATTTGCTAGAGCTAAAATTCAACAAATGGAAACAAAATGCCATCATTGTAGCTGGTGGAAATGGGGGAGAACAAGAATTAAATCAACTCAAATACCCTATTGGAATCTTCATTGACGAAAAGAAAAATATTTTCATTGCTGATCGAGATAATCATCGAATTGTTGAATGGAAATATAATGCAAAGGAAGGACACATTATTGCAGGTGGAAATAAAGAAGGAGACAAAATGGATCAATTGAATGAACCAACAGATGTGATTGTTGATCAACAAAATCATTCGATCATCATTGCTGATCGTGGGAATGGACGAGTGATTCAATGGTTTAATCAAAGTCAACAAATTCTGATTGAAAATATTTACTGTATGGGTTTGGCAATGGATAAACATGGATTTCTTTATGTTTCTGATTTTATGAAGAATGAAGTGAGACGATGGACAATGGGAGAATACAACAACGAAGGAATTGTAGTGGCTGGTGGAAATGGAAAAGGTGATCAACTTAATCAACTAAATCTTCCTACTTTTATCTTTGTTGATGAAGATCAATCTGTTTATGTATCAGACTTGTTCAATCATCGTGTGATGAAATGGAGCAAAGATGCAAAAGAAGGAACAATTGTGGCTGGAGGAAATGGAAGAGGAGGGAATCTTAATCAATTGTCTTATCCTGAAGGAGTAATTGTTGATGATTTCGGTCAAATTTATGTGGCAGATGGTGAGAATCATCGAGTAATGCGTTGGTGTGAAGGAAAAGATGAAGGTGAAATTGTTGTTGGTGGAAATGGAAAAGGAAATCAATCAAATCAATTGAATGATCCCAATGGTTTATCTTTTGATAATAAAGGAAATCTGTATGTTGCTGATCATTATAATCATCGAATTGCAAAATTTGAAATTATATTGTGAATGAATGTTTGATTTTGAAAAAAAGAACACCAGTTTTTTATTGAAATAAAGAACAAAGAAAAGTCTTTTGAGAATTCTTTCTTGAAAATTGAATTTAATTTGATAGTTTTGATTAAAAAGTTCCAACAAAGAATTATTACATTCTCCATCTTTTGTTGAATTTTTCGGAAGATAAGAAAAGAGAATATTTTATACTTTGAGTTCAATTAAATAGAAATTATTCGAGAAGAAGATTTTCTGTTTGATTAAATTTTATTTAAATATTTTTTGTTCTTTTCGATTCGATAAAATTTGAGAAAAGTTCCAAATTGAAAAGAAAAGAAATATCTTATGAAAAACTGATAATAAAAATCGAACTAAAATGAATATTATTGAACAAAATAAATGTTCGAAAGATTTTTGTTTTTTTGATTTGATATTCTTTTTATAAAAATGGAATTGAAAAAATGATATCTCGAAATAAAATCAATGAAAATCTTCATTTAGACGAAAATGAAGAAAAAGAATTTCGAAATAATACAAAATTCAAATTTGGTTTTTCATTTCAAAGATTTTTGATCAAATACAAATATTTTTGTCAGATTTCTTTATGAGATTTAATTTAATTTTTTTTCAAATAAAAATTTTCGTCATTTTATTTTATATTTTCTGATATCTGATGTAAAGAAAAACAATTTGAAGATGTGAATTTTGTTGTTATTACTTCTTAATCGATCATATTGACATTTCGAAGTGGAATTTCTTGAGAATAATTGAAAAAAGAGTTTGAAATGTTTTAATAAATCACGAAAAATATTTCTTATGAGATTAAAATTAGCTGAAATTGGTATAAATAATTCTATTTTATAATGAAATCAGTTTTTTCAAATATTTTATCAGATTAATTTGCTAACAATACATCGAACTAGAAAGAGATCTCTTTTATTTGAAAATATAAAAATATTTTTTGGATAATTTATTAATTGTAGAGATAACACTTTTATATAAAACTTCTTCAGTTATTGTTACATTGAAATATTTCTACGAAGAAATTAAAATAATATTATTTTTAATGATTATTTCTTTATATCAGTGATGATGATTTAATATTATTGTTTAAAAATAAAAGATAATTAAATTAATTAAAGAATTTTTATGTAATAATAAAGAGAATTTGAATAATATTAAAGAAAAGAAATAAAAATTATTCAATTCTAATTAAAATCATTTAAGATTTACTTGATTGTATTTAGATTTTATCGGAATTATTTTTTATTATATTTATTCTTTAAAAATTTAACAAAAAGAAAAAATTCATTTATTTATATAGAACGAAAACTAAGAGATAAACTAATTATAATTTCGATATTTACATTCTTATCGAATAAATTTATAATTAATAAGTTTATCAAGAAAAAGAGTATTGATTTTATTTGAAAAAATTTATTGACGAATTATAGAATTTCTATTTAACTAAATAAAATTTGCATCTATAAGACATTAATTAACCCTTTCGCTTCCGCATTATTTTTCGTTGGATTGAACTCAAGTAAATCGTTGAATTAGCTTCTTCTAGACATAAGAGTATATGTTAGACATATCTCATGTATTCCCACAGGTGATTAGTCGATTTACGCAATATCAGTTACATTGAACTCTATTAGGCTGAACGGCAGTTTTAACTGTTCAAGTTTATTAATTGCAAAACTTATACAGTGTTTCCATGAAATAACAAAAAACAATTTTTATGCTGTTTTACACACAAAGAAATAACACAAAAATTGCATTTTATGTTACTAAATGTCGGACGAGCTTTAGTACTGCAATATCCACACCTTTCTTTAGGCCCAGTAACAGGCATATATGCTAATAATGGAGTTGATAAAGATTTGCTCTTCGTTGTCATTTGAATTATAATATCCAGAGGAAGAGAAGAGTAGAATGGAAGATGTGAAGGCGGTGTATATGGCACAAGTATTTCGAAAAGATCCTAGAACACTCTCTATTACTTCCTTTCAAAAGATTATATACTAATTTTTATGAATTACATTATGAGAAATATAAAAAAAACAGGTGTAGCTTTTTTGATACCGGGGAAGCGAAAGGGTTAAACAATTACTGCTTTTTTTAAAATAAAAGTAAATTCAATTAGATTTTAACAAAATTCTTAAAGAAAATATTTCGAAATATAAAAGATTAATTTAATATCTTGTTTGATATATGATAATGGTTTAAGTTTATTTTAAAAAATATGTCACATCAAAACAGATTTTTTATGAAAAAAATCATTTTTTCAAACATGTCTTATGGTGAGAAATAGTTTTGTTATGTCACATTTTTTGTTTTAATTATGGAAAAGATCATTAATTTCAGTCACCGTAGATATTTGCTACTATTATTTTACTAGAGCCTGTGATACCGAATCTTTTAAGAGAAAAGATCAAGTTTCTATTATGTATCTATGCTGAGATATTTGATTATAAACAATACTTTCGTTTTTATGACTAAATCTGATTATATCTTATACTTATTTATTTCGATATAGATTTTGTTTTTCAATTAAATTGTTATATTTATCAGTGTTTATGTTTTCAAAACATTTTCATCTATTGAAAAATTCATTTGATATTTTCAATTTTATCAATCCACACAACTAAATTATTTCAAACTTTCATAAATGTTATTTTTCTTCATTTTATTTTGTTGCATTATGAAACACTAAAAATCCATTAGATTAAAAATAAGAAAAGTTTTTTTTGTTATTGTCTTCTCTTCTTTACTTGAAATGTTTTGTCATGTTTCTTTTTTTTAAATCAGATGTATGGTTGGTAAGAAACACACGAAACATAAAATGTTATTCTTTTACGAAACAGTCAGAAGAATTTATTCGCCGAAAAAATAATTCAAATCGAGACATACGAAATTCTTATTTTCTATCGAAATAATTATACCAAACATCACAAGTTTAGAAATTCACTTGTTTGAAATAGTTTCATTCTGGTAAGTTTTTTGTTTTTTAAATAATATGAAAAATGAGTATAGAAAATATCATAGGACAATTATCTTAAAAATGATGATATAGCTAAAGAATAGATAGACATACAATCATACTCATTTTTTCACATTGAATCTTCTCACTCATGTCGACATTTGCGGTCAAGTCAAACTTTCGATAGACTCTAATTTGATTTAATTTATTTTTATAAATTTAACAGTGGAATGGTTTCTTCTATATGTGTACTTACATCTATTGTATCAATAAGACAATAATGGATTTCTTTTTTATCCGATTATATGTTTCGATATTATTTCAATGTGAAGGTGTGTCTTGGCAATGCTTTGTCTGTCCGAGCGTTGAATGAGAATTTGTTTTAAATATGAGTAATATTTTTTTTAAATAATATAAACAATTGAGATAGACTACAAATCTATATATGAATAGATAGTAGTCATATGTCGACTTTGAACTAAAGTTTGGATGAAGATTCGCGATTTTTGTAAGAATTGAATTCTTTTTTTCTAATTGTTATAAAAAAACTCGTGTTAAATATTACGAATGAATGCACTGAAAAATAATCATGATTGGGAAAAATCGATCTTATCTATAAGATTTTATCTTAAATAAGTAACTCATTATAAATTGAGATGATTACACACACAGATGGTTAGGACGTGATTATTTTATTTCACCCACACCCTCGCACCTTGCTAAAAACATACGTGAGTTAAAACTAATTGTATAATTGATATTTTAGTTATACAACATATGACGAATGTAATAAGAATATAAACATCATCTATATCTCGATTATTGTTCATTGGGAAGCCTGTTCAACATTTTATTGAAAGAAATGGATAAAAGATCTTTCTTTTTCTTATCTTAGTTAAAAATATAAATGAATTATGAAAACCAATTCATTTTAAAAAAACATTTCTAATATTTTCATTGATTATTTTAGATTTCATTCAACATATATTTAGATCTTTTATATAACTATAAAGAACATAAGAATGATGAATCGTTTTGGTGATATTGATTGCTCATTTAAAAAGTTAACACCTGTTTATGGGTTTCTTAATGCAGAACTTGTTACAATTGAAAAAGCATTACAACCAATTGAATCTCAAATTGCTAACTTACCACATTTTATCAAAATAGCAAAACAATATTGTCGTCGTTCGTCAGAACATGGTTTAACACATGATGAATCAGCATCAATTTATATTTATACAATGGAATGGGGTGAACAATCTTTATATTGTGTTTTAAATCAAACTTTACGAAATGAAAATAGACATTTATTAAAAGTATGGTTTCCTTATATGAAATTATTTGATACAGCATTAAATAAATTACCAACTATAAAAGAAATCGTATGGCGAGGTGTTGCTGCAGATATTGGAAAAAATTTTCATGAAAATGACAAAATAACATGGTGGAGTATTAATTCATGTTCATCAAAACTTAATGTTATCAAAGGATTTCTTGAAAATCAGAAAAATTCTACAATATTTTTAATTGAAGCATTGAACGGTAAAAAAGTCTCTGGTTATACAGAGCTTGAAAGTGAAGATGAAATCATTTTAAAAATGGGAACAAAATTTCATGTAAAATGTGATGCAATGGAGCATCCAAAAGGATCATATCATGTTCATTTAATTGAAATTGATGAGAAAGCACCTCCGGTTCCTGATGTACCTGATACACCAATGTTCAAAAAGAATAAAATATTTATTCATGGTTTACCATCGTCTATGCCGGAGCAGCTTCTGTTCAATATACTATACAATGAATTTTCTACTGTTGGTACAATTAAAGTAACTAAAAAGCATATTCTATAAAAACAAATTTAAAGTCCTATTATTTCTTTTCTAGATTGATGAAGAAAAAAAGATACCATTCATCTATTTATATAAAAGTAAAACGAATGAGGCTCAACTAAGTGGTTATGCAGAGATCACGTTTGAAAACGAAGAAGCAGTAGCAAAAGCAATTACAAAATATAACCGTAATTTCTAATCAAGTTATGTATTCAAGAGCACAAAATATTTATTGTATGTATTCTAGAAACGCGTGTACCAGCGTTAAATAATGTTCCAATTTTTGTGAAGCAGTCGGAAATGAAACCCGTTGCATTACCACAATCAGTATCGAACCCAGTGCCATTTAAAACGAAGTCAGCTTCATCTCCGCCGAACCCAGTGCCATTTGTACCGAAGTCAACGTCATCTCCGCCGAACCCAGTGCCATTTGTACCGAAGTCAGCGTCATTTTCACCGAACTCAGTGCTATTTTTACCGAAGTCAGCTTCCTCTCCACCGAACTCAGTGCCATGTGTACCGAAGGGTAAGAAATGAGAAGTGTTATGTACGTCAGAAACACGACTTGTATTGCTACAATATTCTGAAGAAAAGAAACGTTAAAATATTGTAGAGAGCAGAAAAGTATAACGGATTGTCTAGCAACCTTTAATGAAACATGAACTAATTAATCTGAAAAAGAGAAGAATGTTCACGATTTCATCCGATAAAAGTATAGTTCATGGGGTAGCAAACATAAAATTAGTACAAAATTTACAAAGTGTACATCAAAATTCTTTGAAATTTTCAACATTTCTCGAAAATCTGAAAATTCCTAGAAATTCAAGTTAGTATGATTTTTACCAAGCATTATTTTGAATCCTATTATTTCAAAAATTCAGCAGCTAAGAAATCAAAAACTTAGTCGTCTTGACTAGAATAGGGGAAAAAATCAGAAATGAGAAATCTAGTTCTAGCTATATCTTCAGGGTATAGATGTGGGTGAAACTGAACATGTGCTTGGAAGTAACACTTAAGGTTGTAGTGAATGTGTTGTTTTTAGCGTATAAAATGACCTAAGACATCAGAATTCATGAGCTCTTATACGACTGTCATTGGAGTCCGAGATGCTGTGTAAGGATAGACGTATGTACGGTTATAATGAAGAGGAAACATTAGATCTCCTTAATACTCATTTATATCCACAATAAAGATATTTTTTTGATGTAGGCCATAGTAGATATCTAATTTGTATTTTTCTACCGATGTTATGGGCTAAGAGACGAAAGTAGATTTGTGAGTTCTGACTTGTTTTCATAGACTTCTAGATTAGAAATTGAAAATCAGCAATTAAACATTTGCTCAAAACTAGTACTAATTTGATATTGGCCATGGTCTCCTGACTGATCAATTACTTCATTGTTTGCCTATAATTAAGTAATTAATTAATCAGAGTTCTCCCTTGTCTTGAGGACGGGAAAAGGATCAAAGGGTCCACAATATCTATTCTATATACTGAAATATTATTGTTAAATTGAGTATGACAAAAAGACTTCTATTTTGAATCTCTTCCATTGACATTTATGTGTAACGGTTGGAAATGTTGAAAAAATATGACACCGTAGTGCTCTAATTTAAAGTTACAAACTATGACATGTATTGATGTACTTTTAAGTACTACATTATGAACTTAATGGCGAGCCATACAATCTTACTCACTTTGAACACTCACAAATGTACTTTCTTTCCTTGCTTTTCTAGACCAAGAGCCTGAACAGGAGGAATCTGACAGCACACATGATACAGACAGTATTGCTAGTGATTTAAATGATGTACCCATATTCAAAAAGAATGCAATATTTATTCGTGGTTTACCATCGACTATGACGCAGCAGCTTCTGTTCAATACACTAGACAAAGAATTTTCTACTGTTGGTCGAATTAAAGTAACCAAAAAAGCATATTCTATAAAAACGCATTTAAAGTCCTATTATTTCCTTTTTAGATTGATGAACGAACACAGAAATCATCCATCTATTTCTTTAAAAGTGAATGGAATAATGCTGAGCTAAGTGGTTGTGCAGAGATCACATTTGAAAAACAGGAAGCAGTAATAGAAGCAATTAAAAAATATGATCGTAAGTTCCAATCAAGTTGTATATTTACGAACACAAAATATTTATTTTATGTATTCTAGAAATGCCTGTACCAGCGTTAAATAATGCTCGAATTGGTGTGAAGCGATCGGAAAAGAAGTCTCCTGCATTCCCGAAGCCACCATTTTCACCACCAAGTGAGCATTTATAGCAGAAAGATGGTTTTTATTGAAAGTGGTTGCACTGATTTCCAAATGAGAAGTATCATGGGGTCCGGTTTTGTTTCCAATTAACGTGATTGACACAACTCTGGCTTTTGTTAGATTTCAAAAAAAAGAATTATTTGTAATCCTATGATGACAAACTCAAAGCTCTAGGATTAAGGCCTCCCCCCCGGTCCAAAAAGTCGATTTTCGTCAAAAAAATGGATTTTGAGATAAACACATGGGCATGATGCCTGAGTAGTCTACTTTATAAATCCGTAAAGGTTTTATTAAATCTGTAAGTTTTTTAGGGAAATTTTGTAAAAAAACTTGAGTTAGTTGAAGCCATTATTGCTTATATAGATAAAAGAAAAACTCGTTTTTCTCAAAATCGAGTTTTTTGAAAAATATCAATTTTTGAACAGGTTTTTTTCCACTATAGTTCACTCTATTAAGCTGCGGTTTTTTTTATTTGATAGATAAATATGTCCTTCTTCAGATGACGAGAAGGAATTTTTTATTTGACATCCAATCTAATAGTAATCAGGTATTTTCTGAAAAACCCTACATAGGGTTTTTAGGACTTCAAAGTTTTATAGATCCCACTGAAGAAAAAAATCAAAATTAAAAAAAATCCTTTCCGTCATCCGAAGCACCAAGAAATTCTCTTTCAAATGAGACCACCCCGAGCGCTCCATCTCGAAGTATATTGAAAAAATCCTTGTACGCGTGGGACCCCCATTTTGCCCCTTGGTACCTGTATATCTCTCGAACGGAAAGGGCTAGAGCCATGAAATTTTTTTTACATGTGTACCTCTATGGGTCGAGCAATCGTAGAAAGTTTCGTCAAGATTCCATGCACCATGTCGAAAATCGATTTTGGATCGGGGGGGAGGCCTTAAGTCCACTACTAGTGGCACTGGTCTGAGCAATACACATGTAGATGGAGTGCACTCTTTCACAAAAAGAATTTTTGTATGACAAATTCATTTTTCATTAGAGAATTATATTGTGGGTGTGGATGTTAAATGGGCGGCTTCTCATGACTTTGAGAAGTGCACCCACATTTACATTCACACCCCTAAAATTCAAAGTTGACAAAAAATAAAATCAAAGTTTCATTGAAAATTAATCTTTTCTTTTTTCTTCGATCAAAAAACATTTTCTTCTTTTCGTCAAAATGTTTTGTTTGCATTCTTTTCTAGAACCAAAATGGGGCAAATGGAAACAAAATGCCATCACTGTAGCTGGTGGAAGTGGATATGGACAAAAACTAAATCACCTCAATAGCCCTTTTGGAATCTTCATTGATAAAAAGAAAAATATTTTCATTGCAGATTGGTGGAATCATCGAATTGTTGAATGGAAATATAATGCAAAAGAAGGGCAAATCATTGCAGGTGGGAACGGATATGGAGATCTAATGAATCAATTGAATGGACCAACAAATATGATTGTTGATCAACAAAATCATTCGATCATCATTGCTGATCGTGGAAACAGACGAGTGATTCGATGGTTGAATCAAAATCATCAAATTCTCATTCAGAATACTGACTGTTATGGTTTGGCAATGGATAAAAATGGATTTCTATATGTTTCAGATTCGTCGAAGAATGAAGTGAGACGATGGAAAATGGGAGAATACAACAACGAAGGAATTGTAGTGGCTGGTGGAAACGGAAAAGGTGATCAACTTAATCAATTCAATAGTCCAGGTTTTATCTTTGTTGATGGAGATCAATCTATTTATGTATCAGATAGAGACAATCATCGTGTGATGAAATGGAGAAGAGGTGCAAAAGAAGGAAGAATTGTGGCTGGAGGGCATGGTTATGGACGAAATCTCAATCAATTGTCTAAACCTGAAGGAGTAATTGTTGATGATTTCGGTCAAATCTATGTAGCAGATTATGAGAATCATCTAGTAATGCGTTGGTGTGAAGGAGATGAAGAAGGTGAAATTGTTGTTGGTGGAAATGGCCAAGGATATCAATCACATCAATTAAATTGTCCAACTGGTTTATCTTTTGATGATGAAGGAAATCTTTATGTTGTTGATTGGAAAAATCACCGAATTGAAAAATTTGAAATAATATTGTGAATGAAATTTTGACTTTGAAATAAAGAAAAGAAATTTTCTGTTAAATAAGAAACCGAATAAATTTTGAAGAAGAATAAATTTATTGATAAGAAAATAAAGAAGAAAAGTGTTTTTGATTGTTTTTTTTAGCTGAACTTAATTTGTTAATTTTGATTAAAAGATTCGAATAAATAAATGTTAAATTCTTCATCTTCTGTCGATTTTTTTTTGCATTTTACCGAAGAAAAGAAAAGAAAGCTTCTATGAAAACTTGATAATAAAAGTCAAATTGAAATTAAATTCTGTTGAATAAGATAAATGTTGAAAAGATTTTTTTTAATAAATTAATAAATTTTATCATTTGAAAATGAAATTATCTTTGTTTATAACTATGACATATAACTTTGTTTTATCTTTGTATGCTTTTTTTGTTTAGAATTTGATATTAATTAGAAAATCATTGAACAAACGATAAATGTAAAAGGAAAAGATTTCATTGAAATGTAATTAGAAATTTATTTTTTAGTTTTAGATTTGTTTTGCCATGAAATATATTATATAAAATCTTTTGGTTAAATTTGATTATTATATAGGAAAATATATATCTGGATAAGTAATTCAATGGCAATACTAATATTGATTTATGTGAATGATGAAATGATAATATAAAGATTTATTAAATACATTTCTAAGATTTAATGGAGAAGTATGAGAAATAATTTGTTTATATAAAGATTATATGAATAGATTAGAATTAAATTGAATATTTTTTTTATTAAATCAACAAAGATTATTTTATATAATTTCAAAGTACAACTCTATTAGAAACTAAAGAATAGATAATCTCTAAGAAAAATTATACGATTAATCTTAGATTGACAGATTACTTATTAAATTTTCTTTTTTTTCCTTGGATGAGCAAATCTCTAAATAATATTTTATTAAAATTCATTTGAAAAATATTAAAATTAGTAGATAATTGATTTATTTATTTTTTTTTTTTTTGCATTTAGTTTATTGTGCCATAATAGGGTTCACAAGTATAAAAATAAAAGAAATAAGGAAACGTAGAGGCGAGAGAATAAGACAAATAAGAACAGCATAGTCATACTATTACACTTCGTTTGTTTGTATAATTGATTTATATTTCATGTGACAAACGAATAATTTTTAGAAATAATATCAATACTGGATTATTACTCAACAGAATAATTTTTCAAAAGAGAAAATTCATCTTTGATCTTTCATGTAGAAGATTATTTTATATATTTTTGTATTTACACGAATCTTCTTCTAATATTAAGTTGTTTTGATTGTAAATATGATTTATTTTAAGAAAAATTCAAATAATAATATACAGCGGAATAAAAATATAATTGTCATTAGATTTCTCAAAGTTCTTCTAGATGGAAATGTAATGTATTAATTGGGGTCGCGTACACTTTGTCGACACCCAGTTTACCGACGCCGCTTCGCCGACAGACTGTTTTACCGACAGGTACACTTTGCCGACAATTTCTTTTTTTTGCCGACAACTTTGTTGGCTACCATAATTTATGGGTGAGTGTGGGTGTGGGGGGAGGGTTCGGGTGTGGGTGTAGGTGTAGGTAAGGATACTGATGTGGAAGAAGAGTAGTCTATACCTATACATCCACCCGCTCACATCCATTCATATCCATACTCACACCCTTACCCGCACCCATCCACGCTCTGAACATTCGTTACTACAACGACGACATCGATCGTACTGAGCTTCTCGAAGAATTCTCGCTTCTGGCGGCTTCGAGGAAATAAGCTCATCAGAGTGTCTCTAATATTTCGACACTTTTTACTTGTTATGGCTTCTATCATAAATAAACTTCGCATAAAATTTTTCTCGATTTTTCTCTTTCGCAGTTTTCTTTTCTGGATTACTCTGCATCACCGATCTGAATATCAAATTTTGATCGGTTTGTGTGTCTCGAACGGAACCGAACCGATCTACTTTTCGAAAAGTTTGAACCGAATCGGACCAATCTCTGGAAGCCAGATAACAAATGAGATTTGAATTTTTGCTTAATCTTTTCAAAGAAACTTTTTCAGCAAAAATTCGATATATCACATTGATGCACGGTAAAAAATCATCAGTTGAAATAATATTCAAGATTTTCAAGCATAATATCTTAGAGAATACCGAAGGAAAAGAAAAAAACTTCTCTTTTAGCTGCCGTGGCTGTCTGTTTCCGCCAAAAATATAGAACAAAACTTTCATAGTCAAAAAATGACTTTATCATAACGTTCTCATTCGAAAATGGGCAATTCTTCTCCATAAAAATATTTTAATCCCATACTTCTGAGATTTAAGTTTTTAAACTTGCTTCTTCTTTCTTTGTTATTTTTTATAAGATACAACCACTCGACAACATGTTGAATATTTCTATGATACCTTTTATTCTTTCATAATCACATATGGCATAAAAAACATGCTATAAGGTTTTTGACCTTTTCAACTACACTCAGATTTCTCTAATTTCTATACTGAAAAAAGTCACATAGCTAAATACAAATCCAATAAAACAAGAAACACGTAAAAAGCCTTTTCTCTTGAGAAGTTTGGAGAAAAATATATCTCCGTCTATTAAAAACTATTACGATGGTGCAAAAAAAGTATGTTATTAGTTCATGAAACGACAGCAGCACAAAATGAGAATTTTCTCTAATTTTAATGGGCTATAAATAATAGAGAAGAAGTTCAAATATCTCTGAACTAATATAGTTAACCAACGACAGCTATCGATAACTCTTTATAAACCAACTAGTAATTCATTTTATGTGATTGGATTTGTAAGATAACTATAAAATTCTAAAGTATTTCTATTCAATTAGATAATATAATTATTAATATTTAGAAATAAATCTATTAAATGTTTGATAAAAATATAATTATGAAATGTAATTTACAAATCATTTTAATATTGTTTTTTTCTAATTGATATGAATATTGTGTTTTTTTATAGAATATATTAACTATGATCAGTTTAGTTATGTTTCGTCGTATATTATCAATCCAATCATCATCGAAACAAATCTATACAATAATGAAAAAACTTTCTCAAAACTCACTTAACAATTCTTCTACACAAACACCACTTTTTCAATTGTATAGTAAGTATTTTACTTTTCTAGCTAAACTGTTCGAAATTTAATTAAATATTTAAAAGATTTTATCATTATAATAAAATTTTTCTTAAGTTGATATTCTTCAAGTATTTCATTATTGTTCAATGTGAAGAGATTATTTTTTTCTGAAAGCTAAAGTTTTTTACAGATGTGAATTTCTTTTTTTCATATAATTGGAAAGTGTCAATGACTAGATAATGAATTCAGGTATATCTATAAATCTTTCTTTATCATTTATTTTGATCGTTGGAAATAATATTAAAAATAATAAAGAACTGTAAAAATTCTAAATTGTAAATTATGAACTTTTACAAAGAACATTTGTTACTTTATTCAATAAAAACATTTCAGAGTAACATTATAAAATAAATATGATATATAATACTTCATTTCCATTTTTATTTCTAGTACAACGTCATGATATTAATAATGCTTATCGTTTGTTTTTGAAAATAACCAATAAATCCAATTATATTTATACAACTATGATTAAAGGTTGTTTAGTAATTCTATCGTTTGATTATTCTTCATTAACTTATCGTTAGGTCTCATTTCAAATAATATGTTAGATAAAGTACTTGATTTATTTGATGAAATGAAAATTCAACCTAGTCGTATTACTCTCACTATGTTATTTAGTGTTTGTGCTCGAATTAATGATGATCGAGCAAAACAAACTGGAAGAAAATTTCTCAATGAAATGTCAAAGGATTTTCTAAATGATAATATTCTACTTAATTCAGCAATAAATATGTTAATGAAATTTGGTGATGTTAAAAATGCCGAAGATCTTTTTCAGATAATAAAGAAAAAAGATATTATTACCTATGGTGCTATGATGAAAGGTAAATTATTAGAATAAATTTCAAACCTTAAAAAGTTCAATTTAGGATACACATTAAATAAAATGTGTGATAAAGCATTAGATTTATTTGAACAAATAGAACTAAATCTCAGTAATGTCAGTTATTCGATTATTTTCAATGCATGTGCTCAACTTTCAAATGATCGTGCAAAACAAATTGGAAGAAGACTTTTTGATGAAATACCTGAGAATTTCAAAGTGAATAAATATATTCAAAGCTCAGCAATAGATATGTTAATGAAATTTGGTGATATAAAAAATGCCGAAATTTTGTTTAAAATGTTTGAACAAAAGGATATTATTACTTATGGTGCGATGATGAAAGGATATAATATAAATAATGAACCATTAAAAAGTTTGAAACTTTTTGAAGAAATCAAAAAAAATGAGTTAAAAATCGATGAAATTATATCATTGATATTGATTGATACATGTGCAAAAATTGGTATTCGTTCAATATGTGAATCAGCTGTTAATCGATTTCCATCATATTTATATAATAATCAATATATATGTAATGCATTAATTAGTATGTGGGTATATATTTATTATGAAGATTTTCTAAGTAATTAATTTTTTTTGATTGCAGGGAAAAGCTGGTCTAGTGAAAAACGCTCAACTAATATTTGAATCAGTTGATCAACCTGATGTTATTACATATAATGCAATGAGTAAATAGATTTTATTTGATTTTATTTTTAATTATCTAATTTTTTCTACTTTGTTACTGAAGTTAATGCATATGGAAAAAATCGTATGGGATTAGAAGCTATTGATTTATATCGAAAGATGCCTAATAATTTACGCAACGAAATTTCATATATTTGTATATTGAATGCATGTTCACATTCAGGTCTTCTTGACGAAGCTTATTCAATTTTCAATGAAATTTCTCATAAAACGCAACAAGTTATTACTACAATGGTATGGTTTTTTTTATATTTTTTGTTTAATACAAAGATTTTCCCAGGATTTAGGTTGATTGTTTAAGTCGTCTTTTTTTATTTGATGAAGCAAAACAACTCATAGAAGACTATGAAAAGTGTAATGCACCATATTCAGTAATGTATAGTGAGTGTTTCTGTTTACAATATAAAATTATTTTTCTTAATTAATAATTTTTAATTCTAGTGGCACTTCTATCTGGTGCACGTAATTCTCGACAAACTCATTTGTCACAAGAAATCCATAAACGAATGCAATTATTATTTCCAAATGAAAAAAATCATTTAATATCTGCTTCAATTCTTCTTTGTAATATATCTTCATCGTTAGGAGATCATGAAGAGGCACAAGCTCTTCGATTAGATCGAATTAAAGAATTTGGAAATAAAGTTAAAGCAGGTTTATCATGGACTGAAGTTAATGGAGAAGTAGTGGTAAGAGAATTTTCTTATAAAAAATAAACTTCTAAAGAAAATAGTTTATTAATTATTTTTAGCAATTCACAGCTCATGATCAGTCTCACCCTCGATCAAAAGAAATCTATGCTGAGGCTCAACGAATATCAGCTGAACTAATTAAATATGGACATGTTCACGATGCAAGTTGGATTACGCGTCCATTAGGCGAACATGAAACAGCTGAATCTGTTTTATGTTCACATAGTGAAAGGTTGGCTATTGCCTTCAATTTTATTGAAGGAAGAAAACCATCTTTCATTCAAATCACGAATAATCTTCGTGTTTGTGGTGATTGCCGTAAGTTATTAGCTTTTCTCAATCGTTGTTAGTAACGTCCATATATCTTTTTCTAGATCAAGCTACAAAATTAATTGCCAAAATTCGACAAGTGGAGATTGTGGTTCGTGATGCTAATTGCATTCATCACTTTTCGACGAATGGCACATGTTCATGTCAAGACCATTTTTAGCTTTTTTTGCTCTTTGTTTTTTGAAAAAACAAATATATTAGATGGTCTAGTCAATATCTTTTACATTAACAGATTGGCTATATACAAAAAAATTTAAGAAAGTAGCTATGTGCATCCAGACCGATATAATGAATTAATTCGTATATATGAAGTCATAGATGGGTGTGAGTAAAGAAGAACACAGCACCAACGTCCTCGCCCACACCCACACCCGTATTCCTTTCTTTTCATATTTACTTTTTATTCTTTTATTCTCAAACTTTTCATTTTGTTAATAAATAAATAAACTCAAGTTTTTATTAATCTATATACTCTCTAGCTCAATATGAGCGAACAGTACCATCTTAAGGGTGGGTGTGTATACTGTATTCATTCAGCACCCACATCCACACCCTCAATCGATAGCATTGTTGAGTTTGCTCTATTCAAATTCTTTATTGAGGAAGGTCATTTGTAAATGAAATTACGATCAATAAAAAAATTGATTTACTGATCATCCTCATTATCGTTTGTTTCAGGTATCAAATTCATGACAATAGTAGGAACTTCAAGTTTAATATTGGTTAATATTCCACGAAGATGAACTTCAAAATGAAGTTTATAATAGTTAGCAATCGAATTACCAAAATTAAATGTCACTGGAGTTGTTGATGGTATAGGTATTTGAAAGTTTCGATTAATACTCTTATGCTTCAGTGATTTAATATAATCTAAATCTTGTTTGATGATATTAAAAGTTTTTTCTCGAGAATCACATTCAACATATTGAGTAAGAACAATCGATACGTGACGTATCAATGCTCCTTTTGGATTAATTAAATCAACATTGAAGGAAACATTATTTCCAGCAATAACAACATTTTTGTCGAAAGTAACACGAAGACGAACACCGTTGCGATTTGTTTTTTCTGTTTTAAGTGTAGTTAAACTTAAAAGTCTTCCTGGTTGTTTCACAACAATCGGACAAGTTTTATGAATATTGAATCTGTGCCATTCAGGACGAATAAAAGAAAAACGAATATAATAATGAATTTTGACTATGTAAATCTTCAGTAAGTTGAAAACGAAATGGCCACCTTTGTTTGCCACGTCGTACAGAAAACGAACCATTTGTATGATGTGGATGAACGAGAAATTTTTGATTGAATATTATTTCTTTTACTTCCTCTTCCTTTTCCACCTCATCGGATTCGGTTTCTACTCTCACTAGAGCAACAACTTCACCAATTAGTTCACCATCGATACGTGCTAATTTTAAATCTGTATTATCTTTGTTAACAAAATCAACAAAACCGGTAATTGTTTCACCAATCCAAAAGATATTATCATCTTGTTCATCAAATCGACATTCAGTATTCGATTCCGATGCAACGAGATTTTTATTTAATATCATCAATATTAAAAGAAAATATCGACAGTAGCAAAAATGATTTTTCATTGAAGCTTTGTGTTGTATGAGGAGTGTTATTCTTACAAGTGAAACAAATTGAAGGAAAGGGTAACTATGGTTTTAAATAACAAACATATAAAATCCTTATCAATTGGCATTTTTCTTCTCTTTCATATCCAATAAAATCTGATTTTGTTACCTTTAGTATATGTCAAAATACAACAAATGCCATGTTGTTGATCGAACTATTTTTCGTCGAAAGATAATTATATTATTCTTATTTTGTTAAGGTGGAGTCAAAAGTTCACATATCTTGTCGAATTCAAGAATGCCTCGAAGCTTTAACTCATCGATGCAAAAAAAAAGGAACTGATATTTATTGACGACCTAGTAGATCTTTTGCTTTTGGTTTCAAAGAAAAAATTATAATCAAAATAAACTATCTTGAAGGCGTGAATGTTACAATAAGGTTAATGTAATACCCTCACCCACACCTTCAAGAAAGCAAATCGGAAAGTGTTGCATAGATTACATAGAGCAGCTATGTCGAGTGTCTTTGTTTATCGCTGAGACGACGCTGTTCCAGTACAAATCGTAACTGATGAATGCAGAGTTAAACATTTCTAAATCTATACAACCATTAGCCAACGGCAAACAACTAAAACTATTTGAAGAAACAGAATCATGTCTCAAAGTAACGGATTTCTCTAGTTAAACTCAATAAGCAACAAATGCTTCTTGTTTAGTTCCGAAAAAATACAGTCATATCTGATGTTAGAATCAGACCGTGTAATTTAGTACAAAAAATAACAGAAGTAAGTGCGATAGTACTACTGAGCATATACAAACTCACTTCAATAAAATAGTTCTCGTACTTACGTGACCGTTTCATACTGAAACCTTTTTTTATCTCTGCATAAATCCTTGATGATTCAGCTGTTCAACTATAAAGTTTAGAGAAATTCTGTAAAACTAAAACAAATATACTTTGTTCAACAATGCTCAACACAAAATCTATCTGAGTTCAGTACTATCGAATAGAATTTTGTATCTCTCCACACTAATCGATACCGCACATTTACCGTTCAGTATTATTGGAGAAACACTCCTCTGATTCAATACCATCGAACACGATTCTCTCCTCCAACATTACTAGAAAGAACGTCGCACTAGGGTTTTACTATTATCACAAAAAAAACTTTTATCTTTCGACATTATTCAAAGCGAACTTTCAGAGCTTTGCTACTAAAATACAATACCATTCCTGGCTCAACCCCACAGAAAACAACCTTTTTGGAATTTTACTATAGCTAAGCACAATCGCAGCTTAGTTTTGCAAGCGCTGCAGACTCACAAAATATTACTGCAAAATCTCTATATTTTCACATCAGTATCTCATCCATAATTAAATACTAAAAATTGCTAAGCAGCCATTATCACAACAATACAGATTAAGTTTCAAATCAGGCAGTTTTATTCAAAGTTTCTCTCAAAATTATAACACAATAAAACAACTAGCATAATCATTATCAGCGATTGAATCATAGTCCAAGTACATTTAATAGTACTATTCACAGTTTTATTCTTTTCTTGTTTTCTTCAATTATTTCATTGAGTACATGACTCTCATTAAACCAACATCTGTTGAACTGGAGGCTTAGTGTGGTGAGTGTCTATATGAAAAGACGAGGTTAAAGGCTTGGTATGGAAAAAAGAGAGAATGCGAATTACTGTGTTGTGTTGTAATACATCAACCAAATATTGTGCTCCAACATCTCCGATAAGATTGAACGCGAGATCTAATGTTGTGAGTGTCTAGGTGAAAGAGTGAAGCTAAAGACATGGTATAGAAAAAGAGAGGATGAGAGTTACTCTGTTGTGTTGTAATGCATG